CACGCGCACGCGCACGCGCACGCACACGCACACGCACACGCACACGCACACGCACACGCACACGCACACGCACACGCACACGCACACGCACACGCACACGCACACGCACACGCACACGCACACGCACACGCACACGCACACGCACACGCACACGCACACGCACACGCACACGCACACGCACACGCACACGGACACGCACACGCACACGCACACGCACACGCACATGCACCATACCTACAGGGCGGTGCTGAAACTCAAAAGCTGAGAGCTTGCGGACGGCTGTTTTGACAGAGCATGGCTTTCTTCCTGCAAAACCGCAAAGCCCATCGCCCTCAAACACCAGCACAGCCCCCAACACACACTCCAAGGCACAAGGCAGAGCCCAAGTTCGAACAAAAAAAACAGGCACACTGCAGCAGCCTGAAGCAGTTGAATTAGAGAAGAAGAAGCAACGTTTATGAAGTCCAGAAACACACCAAGCAAAGCCCATGACGCCTAGAGATTGCCCTCAAACCAAGCACCAGCGCAGCCCGCCAACACACGATTTCAAGTGCAACTGTGCTACTACCCACAACTGATGCAAACCTCCCAAAGCTCCATAAACCACACCACAAAGTCGAGCTTTGGCCCCTCTCTGTTGGCTAAAAAACTCCCTCGCGAAACGTGCTAACAAGTACCATTGTTTGTGCTATCCTTCCCTCTCGCTCGCTTCGATCCAGTGATCTAATCGCCTCCGGTTCAAGGCCCTCCGCGGGTTGGGCACCCTTCTGCAAATGAGCATTTAGGTGGGGATGCCCACCCCCACCAACGTTTTGAGGGGTTCCCTGTTTATGCAAGACGTTTTGGAATTCGTGGGATTCCCCCTGCAATGTCTAAGAAGTGAGGCACGAAATACGCTTTCTGCGACATCGATCACTGCCCCCAGCTCTTTCCCGTGGCGCGGAGGCAGGGCGACTGGAACCAGTTCATGACAGGATCTGTGGATTCTTAGAAAAGCAGATCCAGATTCAGAGAGTCCCGGATCCCCGAGAAAAAGCCCCAGGAAAAGGATTGCATGCAGCAAATGTCGGCCAACTCAAGTCGGGAGGCTTCAGCAACTCGTGCTCTGCACGGACGTGTCGAGACTGGTGCGCGCGGAAAGACGTAAAGCTGCGGCATGGTTTCTTGGGTTGGTTTCCAAACATATGCGATGGCTTGAGATCCTTTGCATGATATTCGCATGCCTTGTGACCCTCCCCGACTGTGACTGCTGTTTGTTCTGGGTGCGTGCTTTTTGAGGGTATCCTTTTCGGGTTTGGTTTGAGTCATTCTTTGCGAGTGTCTGGGCTTGTTTTAAAGAAACAACTAGGCGCCAACTTTTGGCGCGGCAGTGGCAGGACCTGAACTTGGCCATCCGTCTCTTTACACAGTACAGACTATGGACAGCGCTGGTGCCAGACTTGGTTGAAGCTGCAGCTTTTTGGATACCCCGCCTTCCTGAAATGGGTGGGTTTCCCTCGGTTTCCCAACCCCCAGGTTTGAGGGCACCATCAATGGTTCCCCTTCTCATTCACCCTCGAAAGGCAGCCGAACTCGCATAGGTTCACGTGTACTGCGCTCTCGGGGACTACGTCTCGCCATTGGAATTGCTGGTGCGGCCGCGCAGGTTACAGTGAAAAGCAATCCCGGGGTGCTGGGCTCCAGTCTCTTCATCCCCAAAGAATCCGAGCAGTGCGGAAATTCAAGCATTCGCTGGAGCACTGTTTCTTTTTGCTTTTACGTCCGTGCTCGTCTTTGTCATGTTGCAAGCAGGCTCTGCCAGAAGGTCAGTGCTTAGTGAGCCTGGGTCAAGGCGCAGGAATCGGAAACAATCAGTTGGTTTACACAGGTCCTTGCAAGATGGCGGGAAAGGCCTTCACTGTACAAGAAACATTCCAACATACAGAAACCACATTTGCAGCTTGCAACTTCGACTGTGACTGAATCTCCAGACGTTCTCACTCCCAAAGCCGGCCAATTCACTTGGAGGCGCCTCTCATTTCAGGCACCCTCATTGACTGAGACACCTTGAATGTGCCTGACAGCCAGGCAGGTGAGTGCGCTCAGCTGACCAAGCAGTGCTCAAAGGACCTGGTCGAGGCGTTGTGCTGGGGTGAGAAGTGACGGCCATGATCCCTTGGAACACATAATATCTTGTGAGGGTGAGGATCCACAATACGGAGCTACTTGCATGTTTGCAGAGCTCAGTCGGTACTCCGCGTGGACTGCCAGTTGGCCAGCCAGTTTCTTCTGCTATGCTCATGCCGGTTGCAAGCGAGAGCATCGCGAGGCGCCATTACTCCAGTGCCTGCTGGTTCGAAAGTGCGCTCTGCCCCAAGAAACATGCAGCATGCGGAATGCACCAACTCAGGCTGTTCTTCTTCTTGTTCCGCTGCTTCGAGCTGAGATCCTTTCCCTTAGAACCCAAGGCGCGAGCCGGTGGGTTTGAGACTTGCTGGCCTTGAATCCCACTTTTCACTGGGCCCCAAGCTGCCCACGGCTGCCTTGATTTTGTTTCATGGGAGTTTTTGTGACGTCTGGTTTTGGGCAAAGGCAAACTCATTCTGCTCGTTTTCCACGTGAGACACAACCCACGAGGCGTAAGCGCCAGTGTTCAGGATGGCATGGGCCTGGTCCAGCCCAGCCCAACTGCCATCATCGACCTGCGCGCGCCCTGGGCGTTTCAGTTCTCACATGTTTTTTTGAGTACACGTACCTTTTGAGGTTGTTATGGTTGTTTCCAAGGGAAACCACAGGGGCCAGTGTTTGATAGCTCCCACTGGCGAATCTGATCATATCTGATTGCCGCGCACTACTTGCAGGATTGACAGCATTTTCAAGACTGCCGATCCATCGAAGGCGATGGCGGTTTTCTACTGGCGCGCGGAATCTGGCAGTTTTTTGGCAGGCTCCTCCGATGTTCTTGCGCTTGTGGCCAGCTGAGTCCCAGAACCATGTTGGAAAACAGAGCACCGGAATTATGTGATACTTTGGAATACAGGCGATTTCTGTGAGTTTGATTTGTAAGCTTAGCAACTCTATGGCACAGAAGGCGCGACTCATCTTAGGCTGCGCTTGTCCCCGCTGGGGCTTTTCCGCATGCTGTCCGTGCTCTTTACCTCTCCCTCGGCAAGTTGGCTTCTCAGATTACTTGGGAAATCAAAGTACTGTGTGCTGGCAGGGAACAAGGACAACGCTTGGAAGTGCATTGTCTCTTTTGTTTTTGGTCCGGTACCTGGCTCATGTTCTGGTCATCAGGCTGCTTCTTAGTGATCGCGTTTGGCTTCCAGGTCGTGCTATCCAGGACTCAGCCGGCAAGCGTGTGGGGCAGGAGCCATGCACGTCCATGCAACCCGTTTGGGTGCTTCACGGCCAATTTCCCTACGTTGCCTTTGTTACCTTTGTCACCGTTGTTTGCGCCAGGAGCAACTCAGCTTGAACTCCCTCTTTCGGCTGATTCAGCTCAGCACTTACTGCATGTTCTCCGCCCTCGAGCTTTGTTTTGGGTTTGCCACCATGGGGTTGTGTGTTGGTGAGGTCCTCGCTGGAAGCGGCCAAAAAGGACGCATCAGACAAAATATCGCACTCAGTGATGGCACGTGGCTCTCAGGAGGACAGCACGCTTGCACACTCACAGAAGGAGTTTCTGTGGCTGGTGTCTCAAGTGCGCAAGGGCACAGTATGGCTTTCACGGCTTTGGCCTCGCGCGCTTCTGTGCTGAGGTTTGTTGCCAGATCGCTTCCCCGGGCCAAAACCCAGCTCACGATCGAGGAGGTCATGCAGGCGCCAAGCTGCCAAAAGTGCGGGTTTTGATACCATTTCCCCCTTGAAGAAATCGCAAGAAGAGTTCATTGCCACCTTCATGTTTGGCAGTATCTTTTTCTTCTTCTTCTTTTGTTCTTCGCATGGCTCATGCCAGGTGGTAGATCATTTGCTGGCGTGGCCGGTGAAAGGCCGGCGGCCTCTTCTCGGCAAATGATATTAGGACCCATACCCTCCAGAAAGGTTCTCACAACCCTTTTAGATATATTTTTCAGAATCCTGGGAAGATTTTCCCAGGGGGTGGGGAGGGGAGGGCTTCTCCCCCATCTCGGTTTTTGCGTCGCCCCAGGTGCCAGGCGCGAAGTGGAGCAGATGCTCATTGGCGTGCTGGCCAGCCAGGAGCGGCGTGGTGTCAGGTTGCCACCCGTGATACCGAGGGAAAGTGATGGGGAGGGCTGCAAGAGTACGGGCGCTTTGGGACAGTGCTTCCTTGTGCCTTTTTGCAGGGGATACCAAGAATTGGCCCCTAGTCTGGACTTTCTTCCCCATGTAGGTTTTTATTCTGCGAGCCAAGATACTACCCTTAAAAAGTGCCAAACACAGTCACAGGGGTGGTTTGATCACAGGAAGGGTTGTTTGCACAACCATGCCGGAAAGTGTGCCCACTTGCAGCTTGGGATGGCAGGAAGGTGGGTTGCTTGTTTGGGTGGGTGGGTGCAGGGTTCCCCACATATCCGGCTCGGCTGTCCAACTGGCACGTAAGACAACCGCCCAATTTTTGACCGAATGCGGAGGAATGCTTCGACGGGCGGGCACACGCGATGGTGATCAGCAAGGCAGGCGGCTTTTGGGGCCTGGCCTCGTGGCTCCACGAGAGGCCGGGCACGCGTGTGCAAGATGTGGTGTGACTCTGTCATTGAGTAGTTGATTTTTTAGCGTGTTTTCCGAGTTGCAACGTCGAAGAAATGGTCCAGTTAGAGCACTTTCGATCCTCGCAAGCGCATCCAGTTTGCTCATGCTTGTTATTTGTTCTTCAGAAGCCGCCACTCTGAAAGGTCCATTTGTTTCTCCTTATGAGAGCCACCAACATTTCCGAGTCTCCCTTGAGAGTTTCTTGCAGTTGCGAATCAAATTTGCGGAGCTTCCGACAGCTGAGCCGGAGGAACGGCGATCTTGGGCGAGCATTGGATTGCAGGCTGCAGGAAGGGCCGCTATGGGCTTGCCGTGGGGAGCGCTAAAGATTCGCAGGATGAATTATTTCATGATACGGGAGTTGCTTCGTACCTCTTTTTGGGTTGTTCCAAAGCGATTCCAAAAAGAAAAGGACATCAAAATGAGCTCCGCCAACAATACGCGGAAGCGAGGGTGAGACAGGATACAGGAAAGGTTAAGGAGCCACGCCACTGCTCTGGGGACAGAGCTTGAGAGATGTTGAACTCCGTTCTTGCTGCTGCTACTAGTGCTGGTTGGTTGCAGTCGAAGAGAAAAGCGGGCAGTTCGGTCGGATCACTGTCCAATTAAATGAGTGGCAAGACTTAGCTTCCTTGCAAAAGACATGAATTTCGTCAGCCCATCACTGTTTACTGCGCTAGAGTCTGGGGAGGACATCTGCTGCTCAGAAGGAGCTTGCATTCACACTGAATTTTGTTCTTTTATCGGGGCCCAATTTTGATCACATGACTTTGCGTCAAAATAGTGACACCCCAAAATGGGCATTGGAGGCTTCATGACCGAGCTAGCAGCCTTGACACTAGCCGACGTTGCCAACACCTTCGACATGTCAAACACTTGCCAGCTTGACAGATTTCCTTGTTTGCATATCATCTGGGACGGCGATCATTTCTTTTGCGGTCATCGCTGTCTTAGCTTCAAACTCTGCTGACTGCTTGTGGCCTCAGGGATGACATTGCACACACCTAGAACACCCCCTAACAAAACATGGTCCCAGAAGACCGCACCTTTGTTTGGAACAAGCTTGAGCCTTTCGCGGTTTGCCAAGCTCGGAGATGCTTGCTTGGACGGCGCACTATGCGAGGATCCAGAACTCAGAGAGCAGATCTTCGAGTTCATCATCACCAAGCTTGCAGAGGCTGGTTCGGGCGCTGCTTGTGAGTGAACCGCAGCTAGCAGGGGCGCGCGCGCGGGGTTGTCGGGGTTGTGTTTTGTTTGTTTGTTTTGTTTTCCTTGTGTGTGTGTGTGTGTTTGTGGTGGGCATCTGTCAAAATGATTCAACATGGGGGACCCCCAAAACCGGTGGGTCTCTTTGGTTTCCCTTCAAACCAAGCCCGAAAAGGGTACCAGTACTCTCAATCAAAGAAAGATGTGGTGCAGGATGCGAACTTTGCCCTCATCGAAGCAGCCCTCCAGCGGCTTCAGGCGCTCATGTAAATTTTTGAAGACGCATAACTGGAAAACACCCATTTGGAAATTCCGCCACTCACAAGAAGGACCATGGACAACTAATTTGGAGGGGGTGTTTTGACATACCCAAATGGCACAGAGAAGCAATCGAAGCTATGATCAACAGGCCAGGTGACTTGCGAAGAATACGAGCGCTCATCAACCTCGTCACCTTTTTAGTCGGGATTTTGGTGGAATCATAAGCACAGTCGTCAACGCCTTAAGGGCTTTGGATGACCGTGGTACGGGCTGCTATTCAGAACCTAGCCATGCTGCTTAGCTTTATATGCTGCATGGTTGATATTCACCTGATGCAGGCCCTGGTGGAGGTTGACAGTGAGCGCTGCTCGCTCATGCTTTGCGAGCAGTTTGCGAATGTGCCTGATCACTCCCAAGTGCCAGCAGCTAAGCGCGCAAGGCCCGAACAGGATAAATTTAAACGCCAACAAGTAACAAGCGGGGTGTGAGTTGGTGAGACGAGTGATCTCACTAGTCTGGGCCTAACCGAGGCTCGAAGGCTTGCAGGCATATCCTCAGATGGAGATGCGCTACCTGGAGGCTCTGTTGGAGTGATCCATGCAAACAAGAAAAGGCTTGCCGTTATTCACCCTTGGTGGCCAAACCTTCTTCAGACCATTCTAATTGAATCGTGCGCAACCACGGATACAAATCCCCATAGTGCGGCCGTTCAGGGGCTTATTTTCGCTGGTGCAAGAAGCAATTCTGGACTGGAGATTTGGGACCTTTGTCACTTCATACTGCAGTTGCGGCCTGTTTCACCTCATTTGGGGGCCTTTTTCACCTCATACTTGCGGGGTGCTCTTGCCCAGCACTGCGCGCGCCAGCCAAATGATAAGACGCCCCCACTGCACATGCAGTGGGCACACATCCAACTGCTTCAGATTGGATCCGGGTTTGTCTCGAGATAGCGGAGCTCCATTTCCCTTCAAAATCAAGCCAGAAAGGATATCCTGAACAAACATGAAGGCACACCACAGGAAGCAGAAAAACCCATCCATCCAACCGAAACGCGGGGCCGGGGACGTGTCTCTCGCCGCCAGTCCCTGCTGCGGCGCGGCAGTGCTGCTGAGCGCCAGGCGGAAGTGGGAAAGGGAAACCATCCAGGTTTTGGATGGTGTGTCGTGTGTCTCTTTGTATTTCCGAGCACAGCATTTGTTGGCTTGGAACCATGTATGTTATAGCTTTCCCTGTGTGGCTGCAGTGTTATTGAAAGTGGAGCCCCGCAAAAGCGGCTGTTTGCCACTGGTTCCTCGCTGAATATGCTCACTCTGCATGGGGTCATCAGGATGCAAGGATGTCTGGATTGGCATTGTCCAACAGGAACTGCAAGCTTGTGCATGTTGGCATTGATGAATCAGACTTTCTTCAACCAGTACGTGGTGCGCTACATTGACTTGTCCAACTCTCAGAGCTTTTCTGAAGCCAGTTTGTTGGTTTCTTGAGACCTGGTGTTTGGCAGGCTTTGCCAGCACTGCCCCTCTGCGGTGCTGCCCTTCATTTTGGAGAACGAGGCTGTCCGACTTGGATTTGGCATCTGGCAGTTTTTGGTCGCCCCCGCGTTTTTTTTGAAGGCCTTGCCGCTGAGGGAGTGCTTGGATTTGTGCGGCAGGCGTGCGAGGGTTTGCCGGTGAAAGCTCGTAGCAGTGTGGAGAGGTTTTTTTTCAATCTGAAACAGGAGGCAGAGCTCCAACGCACACGAGGTATCGCGTCACAGATGCCTCAGTGCATTTGCTGGAACGCACCGGTGACTTTGCTGGCGTCCTCCAGCCTGGCACTTGTAGCGGCTCTTGCAGTCTTGCTATGCTTGTGTTTGGTTGGGTTTCTCCGAGTGCCGGATGTGACCTGTCCGCAAGACTCCCAGCCGAAGTGCAGATTAGATCGGTCTCGCGTCCACGATGCTCCCTTTGCTGCGCGGGAGGGGCTTCCGGCTGGGTGCGGCGGCGGCCGGAGCCACGGCCAGCGCTGCAGGCGTCGCCCATTGGCAGAGAGACAGGAAGGCTGGCCCGCCCCAGAAGTGATTGCCTGATTGTTTGGAGTTTCTGAGGCAGTCTCAGGTTCCGGGAGCTCATGTCAATCCAAGGTTCGTTCTTGGCTCTCTGTGTTCGGAGGTCGCCTGCGAGACGGACCCGGCGGCACTGGGGGCGGCACTGGCCGGGGGTCTGGCGGCGGGCGCGGTGGGGGGCTATTTCTTCGGCAAGCAGCAGGGCGAAAGCATCTCGGAGAAGTACGAGAAGTTCTGGCCCCGGAAGATCATGATGCTCTTCGGCGCGCCCGGCGCCGGGAAGGGCACCCAGGCCGGAGTTGGAAGAAACGTGCTGGAAAGAGGGAATCCCGGAGGTGGTAAAGGAGCAAAACTGGTTGAAACACAGTTAAGAGATGGGGTCTCAAAGGGAAATTGACGAGGCTGTTTGAATAAAAGTGGTTGCACCACACTCTAAAAAAGTAGGAGATGCAGGTACGCCGAATAGTGTTTAGTTACACCGAGCAAAGTACCAGTTCTCCCAAGCGAACGAGACTTGGAATCGCCCATTCCAGGGCCCCAAGATCGTGGACACCTTGGCGATCCCGCAGCTGAGCACGGGGGACATGCTCCGTGAGGCGGTGAGCGCTGGCACGGAGGCGGGCTTCTCGTTGTGTTTCTGTGCAAAGCGAGACTGCATTTCATTTTTGGTTCTTGCGTGTTTGATACCAACAATTGTGATACCAAATTGTGTGGCCTGGTTTGGTTTTCAGGTGGGCAAGAAGGCGGAGGCCGTCATGAAGTCCGGGGGCCTGGTGTCAGATGAGATCGTGATCGGCATCATCGCGGACCGCATCAAGGAGCCGGACTGCAAGAGCGGGTTCATCCTGGACGGGTTCCCCCGGACCGTGGCGCAGGCATCCAAAGAAGCTGCAAGTTGGGCTAGTGCCCTGTTTCCGTGAAAGGAGGGTGTCCAAAACACCAAAGGGGCTTCAAAATGATGTGCCGTTTTGGACTCCCTCAAATGGCTGCAACAAATGACACCAGGGTCCATGCCCCTTCTGGCAACGTCCCGATGCTTTAGGGTCCAGGGTTTGAGCAAGGGGCTTCAATCGTGAGGCCCAGGCCCTCGACGCCATGCTGGCCAAGAGTGGGGAGGCGAGCCATCGAAACGCCGGGTAGAAGGGTTAGGGACATAGAAATACAGAGTGAGGTGAGGATTTGGGAAATAGGTCCCGCAAGCGAGTGTGTGTGTGTGTGTGTGTGTGTGTGTGTGTGTGTGTGTGTGTGTGTGTGTGTGTGTGTGTGTGTGTGTGTGTGTGTGTGTGTGTGTGTGTTTGTGTGGGTGTGCGTGTGCGTGTGAGTGTGAGTGTGCGTGCGCGTGCGCGTGTGCGCGTGCGTGTGCGTGTGCGTGTGCGTGTGCGTGTGCGTGTGCGTGTGCAGTGTGCGTGTGCGTGTGTGGTTGACCTTGTTTCGGAGTCGGCCCGCTCCGGGGGTGACGCATGACTAGGGGGAGAGGCGGGTCCTGATGAGGATCCCTCGTAGTCAAGGCCAACCCCGCCGAAACTCCTTTGAAGCTGCCACGGGCGCCGTCGTGAGCAGCTTGGAGCTTCATCCATTTGGTTGGTGTGGCTAAGCAGGTTGGTTGGGCAGGGTCTGACACACTGCTATAAGCATATGTCGCTTGCCAGCCATTGCGGCTTGAGCATTGAGATGGCTATCTGTTTTGCCTTTTGGGACTGGGCCATGTGCCATGCTTTCCCATGCGGTGACTTGTGAGCTTTCTGCTGGTTCTGATGCTCTCCTGCGGGCAATAGGTGTCGAATCTACGAGCGACCTTGCCAATCTTTGGACCGTTGAGTGGGAGGTCTTTAATTCTGTTGCCAATCCTGCCTTGTGCAGGGAGATTACGTCAGCCTGGAAAGTGGCCCGTGTCTGCGAGAACATCCGGTTAGACAAGGTGCAACCGCCGCAGACAGTAGAAGGGCGCGTGCCTCGACCGGTGCCGCCAGCTTCGTTGGCCTTCAGACATCGCCGGCCGTTGATAGACATCATGTTTCAAGTTGTGCTGGACACGGGTTCCGAGAACGTGGTGTTCGGCCCACCGACCCAAAAGCCAGTAGGCCTTCCTTTGACAGAAAATTGCAGCATGTCTCAGTGGAAGCGCTCCGTGGGTACAGGCGAGCATTAAGCGCTGGGTTGTTTTTCATGCTGGCAGCTGTGCTTCGGATGTTCCCTACTGGAGACCCGCCGCCTGGTGTATGCGGCCTTGAAATGGTGGCGGGTGTTTCTAGGCGTGCCATTTCCAGTCATGGACGGCTTAGTGCCTCCGTGGGCGACGGCCCAGGCTGGCCACTGCGCAGAGCCTAAGCCACCCTTGCCACCGGACGCTTTTATTGAATTGGTGCGAAAGGCACCCCAGCTTTGCGGGGCTCTCGCGTCCGCTTTTGCTTGGGTTTTGCTGATGCTGACGGCGTGCCTCCGATTTGCGCACTTGCAAAGGTCCCATTCGCTTCGGCTGGAAGGTGGGCTTATCCGAGGCAAGTGCTCCCGGGGCAAACGCCGAGACGGACAGAATCACCCCCCATTTGAGTTGGCTGCGGAAGGAAGCAAGGAAGGAAGGAAGGAAGGAAGGAAGGAAGGAAGGAAGGAAGGAAGGAAGGAAGGAAGGACCCCCCCCAACCACCCCGCTGATTTGTAGAAGGTTGACAGTGATTAACGCACCCTTTGCTGAATCATCACTTCTTCGCTTCACTGGGGGGGGCTGCCGCCCCCCCCCAACCCCCCCGCTGATTTAATCCCCTGCTGATTTAATGCTGCGCCTGCGTCAAACTCTGCGCCGTACCTTGCGAAAGTGCTGCGCCTGCCGCGAGATTGGTACCTCTTGCGAAAGTCTCAGGGCCGAGCTTAAGAAGCAGTCAGGCGCTCCAGCAGAAGACATCGAGGAGCCGCTTGAGCCTTCGACCCAGGACTTGCTCAAGTCGATAGAGACACCAGTGATATGCCTATGAGCACTGTGGTTCAGTACTATCAGGCGCTGAGAATTCTGGCAAACGGATTCAGCATTGTGGGCAACTTCTCTGTCAACAGCAAGGCCAAGCCAGGTGCCGAGTGTATTGCCGCCCCTCTGCGCACCAGCCTTTCCTATGCTGAATTTGCATTGCGGCGCGCGTGCGAAGTGGGCGGTTCTTCTCTTGAGTGGTTCCCGTGGTCGTCGCCCGTCGCAATTCCGATTTTGCTCGTGTCGCTCTGTGACAGTCTCGGGGGGGGCCCTTCTGGCGCTGATGGCGCTTGGGGTGACCTTTGCAGCTGTTTAGCACAGGTGGTGCAAAGTGCTTTCAGGCACGTTGTGCATTGGCCAGATGTGCGGACATTTCGCGTCTGTGACTTGGAGCCAGCGGTTGTGCGTCGGGGAGGTTTGCCGCCGTAATGGTTGTAGGAAGCTTGCCGTGTCTGCAGGCCTGCTGCCTGAATAAACCTAAACCAAGTTTTGCCGCTCAGCGCGTCCCTTGCGTTGCCCGGGAGCTGCGGCAACCCTGGTCCACAGCGTATGTGACTGCTTGCAACTGGATATCCTGAAGGGCTATCTCTTGGGCGCCGGCCATTGGCGTGCGTGGGAGGGCTGACGACACACACTCACTGAAAAGAACTTGGCGCGCTTGGCAATTGGATTGACACAGGCTTCCAGCAGCGGCAGGCTGGGGCATTGGAACATAGGCGTCATGGAAAACTGAACTTGCATCAAGCTCAACGCTGATTACCTTTGCCTTGGAAGGCAGTCCTGTAGAAGATTCCTTCCCTTTCACACACGCGGCCTTGAATCCTTGGGAAAATTGGCCTCGACTGGCTCGAATGGGCTGCTGAGACAGTCGGCCCTCATCCTATTTGGTGAAGTAAGTTGTGGTCCCGGGAGCCACAGACTTCGGCGGGCGTCCGGAGAGCATCACACCTGTGCGCACGGGAATCCGGGCAATCCGGTTCTCGCGCACAACACCCGCGATTGTCGTTCCACTTCTTGCACAAGAACTTATCCCCACGCTTGTTGCCCGTCCTAGGGATCTTGGACGGGGGCAACGGCGGGCGGCTGTCTGCAATCTGTGTTGGTCGCTTCAATGACTGAGGGGCACGGTCCAACACATCTCTTGCTCGCGGCAGCCAGGGCTTCACCCTGCGGCAGGCCCTCCCTCTGCAAGCCTTGGCCCTTGTGGACTCGTCCCTAGAGCACAGCGCTTCGTCCGACTTTGCGCAACGGCAGAAGCAGCCATGCATGCCCGCGCGGGCTCCTTCGGTTGGGTCAGGAGGTCTAGGTTCTTTTGGGTGTCTGATGGAAAAAGAGGTGCCTAATATTGTCGTCGAGAAGGACGAGCAAGAAAAATGGACTGCCTACTGGAGAGCCAAGAAGCCTTGCCCTGAGACTCCACCTTGCTCAGATGGTTTTCTGCCTTGTTCATGGCCCAGTCGCCAAGACAGGAAGGCGCCTTCCCTGCTTTCACTTGTGTTTCCCAGTATGCTCTGGGCACTTCATGTGTCAGGGATCTTGACGCAATCCACAGGTTCAATACGGATGCACGCCGACTCTTTGTTGACTTACGCCCGCGAGGCTTTGTTATGGCTGAGATCCGGGTCCAACTCCCTGAAAAGGGCTGGTGACTCCACATGGCCAAGCAAAGGAAAACCCGCTATGAACGGACCGAAAACAAACATGGCCTGCGCGGCAAAGGCTTGGTCTTCGTCCACTACTGGGTCAACCTGAAACGGCGAAGGCAAGCATGTGCTCAGCTGGACATGAGCATCTTTTGACAAACCTGGTGGTAGTAACGGATCTGCAGCCCATTTAGAGCGGGGGCCGCCTTTCTGCGCCGAAAGGGCCAACGAGCTACCTGGCCTACCCCGCAATTGTGTGTCTGCCCGATATACCTGAAGTCTCGCGCACGCAGAGTCAATCTGTGCAGAGGGCTCAAGCGCCGGCAGCAAGTCAGCAAACTCCGCAAAACAATTTCGCAGGTTTGACGCCAGGCCAGCTGCAGATATGAGGCCCGGCCACGACTCCAAAACTCCAGGCTGCCACACAGTGCCCTTGACGCAACCCCGCAGCCTGGACTCCCAAGACGCATACAATGGAGCCTGAACCACCGGGGAGCAACTGGCACGCCAGCACAATTACTAGCATGGTTGACGGCGCATAGGGGGCGTGTCCAAGCAATGAGCGCTTTGCATCCTTAAGGTTATGACAAGGGAGTTCCTCTTGCGAAGTGTTGGCAAGACCCCGCGACAGTGAGCTAGGGCTCGGCTCCCAAGCAGAGGAGGTCACTACGGCTACCTTTAGCATGGCCAAGCCATGCGAGCGCTCCCAGTTTCTCACGGAATTCACGCGTGATGAAATCGCACAAGGCATTGCTTCAGGCCCATTTACGAAAGAACAGCTTGATGCACACTTTGGCCAAGGCCAATGGCTTCCTATGCTGAGGTTTGCTCATGTGCAATCGTGTGGGAAGATACGCCCGATAGACAATTGCCTGACATGGGCAGATGAAACAATTTTCACCACTTCCCCAGATCATGTTGCTGCCTCAGCAAGAGCGTTCCTTGCCATGCTTCAAGCCAAGTCACGCATGCCGCCGCCCGAGTGGGCGCAACTGGTGTTTGGCACGTCTAGTTGTCACGTGGAAGGACACGCAAGCCGACGGTGTCAGGTTTGCCTTGCTCCACGCCCATCCTTATGGGCTAGCGTCTGCAGTGCTCAATTTTACTAGAGTGCCGGCCCTGATCACGGCGGTGTGTCGCAGAAGCTTTGGCACCGCGGTTACCAGTTACCTTGACGACACAGGTACTTTAGATGTGTCCTTGCGCAGGCCACCAGTTTTCAGCCCAATGAGAAAAGCCTGCAGAGATTCCTCTGAGCATCATTGAAGCAACGAAGAAAAGAGCGAGCATCAGTGAAGCAACGAAGAAGAGAGCGAGTTGGCGAAGCTGCAATGCGGACGCATGCTTTTTAGTGCAAGTGACCTGCGAGCCGAAATTCTTACTCGAAGACCCAAGCAGTACTTTGATGAGTGCCCTCCTTCGGGAGTTCAAGTGTGATCGCCCCATCTTGGGGGAACCCTGGGTGTACCCATCGTGTGACCCCGGGCCGGTTCGCCGGAAAATTTGACCTCACGACCGATCATATAGACCAGCGGAATTTCACGTTTAACCAGGAACGAGGTTTCACAAAAGGGAAGACAGCCACCACTTCATAGTTACGTCTCACCACTGGCATTGCGCCTTCGTGTACAGTTGACCGTCTCGTGTACAGTTGACTGCTTCCTGTACAGTTGATTGCATCGTGTACAGTTGTTTCGTGTACAGTTGACTGCTTTGTGTACAGTTGACTGCCTCGTGTACAGTTGACTGCCTTGTGTACAGTTGACTGCTTCGTGTACAGTTAACTGCTTGGTGTACAGTTGCTGTGTATTCGTGTACAGCTGACTGTTTCATGTACAGTTGACCGCTTCGTGTACAGTTGCCTGCTTCATGTACAGCTGACTGCCTCGTGTGCAGTTGCTTCGTGCGCAGTTGACTGCTTCATGTAGAGTCAATTGCTTCGTGTACAGTTGACAGTTTCGTGCAGTTGACTACTTCGTGTACAGTTGACTGCTCTGTGTACTGTTGACTGCTTCGTGTACAGTTGACCGCTTCGTGTACAGTTGACTGCGTCTTGTACAGTTAGTTGACTACGTCGTGTACAGTTGACTACTTCGCGTACAGTCGACCGCTTCGTGTACAGTTGAATGCTCCGTGTACAGTTGACTGCTTCGTGTACAGTTGGCTGCTTCATGTACAGTTGACCACGTCGTGTA